AGCCTGTCCTGGAACTCGCTCGGTAGACCAGGCTGGCCTCGAACTCACAGAGATCTGCCTGCCTCTGCCTCCTGAGTGCTGGGATTAAAGGTGTGTACCACCAATGCCCTGGTTTTGATGCTTTTATTGGTTGTTGTTCTGGTTGGCTAGATTATTAGTAGCCCCTCAGTGAGTGTTAGGGTTTTGCTGGTTTTCTGTGTTGGGCTCTATGGATTCCTTCCCAGCATTCCTCTCCTGCATAGTTCTTGTTCTGAATTTCATCCTTTCTTGGGTTTTCATGGATGAGACTGTCTTTGTTCTTTGATGACTTACGATGTTCAGCATATTTTCATAATTCATTTTCCATCCATATATTCCTCTATAATTGTATATTTATATCTATTGATCAATGGCAAAATTAGGTAGATTTGTTCTTGTTACTGAGTTTTATGAATTCTTAGGGTACAAGCACTTAAGCTAAATTATTTCACATTTTCTTCCTGTTTGTTTTGTCTATTCGTTAAAAAACATTTCTTAAAGTATATCTCAAATTCATTAATATTTCTTGCATAGAAGATATTTTTGTTATGCTATTTAAAAATTCATCAACACTGAGGTTTTTGCTAATAGTCTATATCTCTTGGCAGCATTATCACCCCAAATGTCATTTCTTCATTTAAACTACACACACACACACACACACACACACACACACACACACGTTATGCACATACAGTTAAATACTACATGTGTATTTTAAGTAAACATAACATAAAATTCATCAACAAATCTAAGGCCATGTATATTTTTCTTAAAATTTCTTCCAAAATTTTTAGAATTTTGCCATTTATATTTGGGTATATTATCCATTTTTAGTTGATTTTCTTTTTCTAATTGAGTTGTCTTGTGGTTTTTGTTTTTCTTTTCTTTTTTCATTTGAGAAAAATAAGTTGACAGTATTTGTTGGAGTATTTTCCTATGACCTCTAGCCTGTTCTCTTGACCCATGTCTTATTTCGTCAACACTATGTGCACAGCTTAATGGTGGTGCCTGATTGCACAGAACTTAGAAAGCTTGGGAAGGACAAGCATGAATTCAAGGTTGATCTGCAATACACAGAAGACCCTTTCTCATAGGACAAAACAAAGTAAAATAAATAACAAAATCTACAGCAAATCTTAAACGGGGTGGTAGGAATCCTCTGATTGATTACTTTTTCCGTATGGTTTTTCTGTCCTAAGTATCTTTCCTTCCCATGTCAGCTTTAGACTAGCTTGTTGGATGTGAGTGGGAGTATCTGAACCCTATAGATTGAACTTGGAAGATCTGACCTTGACAATGCTGAGTCTTCCAGGACAGGAGCATGGGCTATTTATGTTGATTAACTCCCGTTATCAGGATATTACAGTTTTCTAATTGTATATGTTTTATTTGTGTCTAAATATTTGTTTTTACATGCTGTAGTAAATAACATTATTTTAAAAATTTGAAATTCAAAGTATTGATGATGTGTAGGAAAGCAATATACTTTTAAATACTGACTTTGAATCTTAAAGATATATTTAAATTAATCTTGATATATTGTCTATGATTAATGATTTATTCAAACATATGATTTTCACTTTTTACACATTTGGGGATTTTTCAGGTTGTCTTTCTGTTGGGCATTTCAAATTTAATTCCATTGTGGTTTGAAGGGACACTACTTATAATTTATATTATTTCTTTATTTTTAAATGTGTGATTTATAGCCCATAATTCAGTTCATCCTTGTGAGTGTTCCAAGTTTTGGAAGAATGTATATTTTGATTTTGATTTTATTAAATTAAATAGTCTATAAATATCAATCAAATAAGTACATTGATGAAGAATGATAGGTGGTTTGTAATTTTTACTGATTTTCTGTCTTCTTTACTTATTACGGAGCATGGTAATAAAGTCTTTAACTGCAATGATGAATTTGTCTATTTTTGCTCTTAGTTCTATCAGTTTTTGCTTATGTGCTTTAGTACTCTACTGTTAGATGCACATACATTCAGAGTTGTCTTGGAAAATTGACTTTACAATTTTGCAGCATCTTTTCTAGCACTGCTTGTTTTATTTGCTTTAAGTTAGGTTTGTCTGACATTGATATAGTTAGTATAGTTTCTTTTGATCTGAGTTAATGTGGTATATCCTTCTCCATTTCTGGACCTTCAATGTATTTGAAGGTCCAGTTTCAGACTTCTCAATATCTTTCTGATTGTGGAGTTTCAGCTCCTTTAATCAAAGATCAGTTGGCTTCACATGCATGAGTTTATGAGTTTATTTCTGTGCTCTCTCTCTTTTCTGTCTTAATCTCATATATACATATGAATGTTCTCATATACATATGTTTGGCACTATCACACTATTTTATCAAGTAGTGTAATAATTCCACCTTTGTCCTTTTTACTCCTAATTTCTTTGACTCTTTACATTTATCTGTGGTTTCATGTGAATTACACAATTATCCTTTCTATCTCCATAATAAGTGGCAAAGGATTGTTTGAATCTATAGAATGCTTTGGGTAATATGGACATCTTAATATGGATTGTTCTAACTCAGGAAGGCAGAATGTCTTTCTATTGTTTTTTCTTTTCTTCAAGTTAATTCACTGATGTTTTACATTCTCAGTTAAAAGATGTTTCATTTCCTTGGTTAAACATAGCCATCATAAATGGCATTTTCTCTTTGATTTCCTTTTTTAAAGAGTTGATTATTGCCGGGCGGTGGTGGCACACACCTTTAATTCCAGCACTCGGGAGGCAGAGGCAGGCAGATCTCTGTGAGTTTGAGGCCAGGCTGGACCGACAGCCTCCAAAACAATACAGAGAAACCCTGTCTCATAAAACCAAAAAAAAAGAGTTGATTATTAAATGCTATATTTTATTTTGAGATGAAATATCTCCTTCTATAGCCCAGGTTGGTTTGTAATTCACTATGTAAACCAGGCTCAAACTCTTGGAAGTCTTCATGGCTCAGCCTCCCCAACAGCTGGCATTACAAGTGTGAGCAACTGTACCCAGTCAAAACTGTGCACACTTTGAACTAGGAATTGTCTGTGGAACGTTTTAGCTTCCAGCAAAAAAGGTTAAAAATATTTTTCAGTTATATTGTTAAAGCCTTTAGATTATAGTGAGAAAAACTGATTCTTGAGGGGGTCCAGAGAAGTGCACTGCTATTTAGCAGGAGTTGCAGAACAAACATCCAGAACACACATTTCCTAGTAAGTAAGAACAATAATATAAATAAAAGGTAGGACATAGAGAAATAGCATCATAGCGAAACTGCGAACGAAAGGTGCTAAGATGTTATGTCAGAGGATGAAGAGCAGTCTCTTCTTGGTACTGGAAAGAAAAACCACACTTCTGAAGTGGATAAAAGATGGCAAACAAAAGATAGGATTTTATAATTTTTAAACTTTTATATTTATTTATATACATATGCATGTATTTTGTGTGTGTGAATGCCACATACATAAGTGTTTTCAGAGGCCAGGAGAGGGCATCAAGTTCCCCTGAAACTGTAGTTACAGGCAGTTGGGGCCATCTGATATGGATGCTAGAAACTGAATTTGGGTTCTCAGAACAATAAGGGTTCTTAACTGTTCAGCCATTCCTCCAGCCCCAGATGGTGTTTTTAAGCATCGCAATTCTACAAGTCTCCATTCCCAATCATTTCCTGTAGCCACCAAGTAGTCAGGTCTACACGGTTCATTTACAAAACTGTTGACAAACATGAACTTTGACCCAGCATATTTTCTTTTCTCCTAGTCTGGGATATGAATTACCCCACCAGCCCTCTGTTTAGACTCAGATGATGGTGTCAGATTCCTTTTGGACTGTAAAAACACATTACTCATGTTAGAAAAATCTTTATGGCAATCATAGGTTCTACTAGAACATTTACATCTTATTTATTCAGTAAAAATTACATAGAATGTAGTTAGTGTTCAATATGGCTTTTCTCTCAGATCAGAAGTTACTACCATCATGTAGCGCTTTGTTTCTGCTATCTTTAGGATTAAGTCTTCTTTAGAAGGATCAAATATCTTCTTCAATTTGCCCTTAGAATTCATCATTATGTATTTTTATGTTTCATTAGAATGCGGATTGAGAGATAATGCAGTGGCACCATCCACCACACTTACTAATTTTCTTGAGGGATCCTTCTATCAATTTGGGAAATTGCAAGTATTTGCATAAGTTGCCATCTTCTGAAGTTAAGCACAGAGAGATATGAACTTTTAGAGTTTGCCTGCTTTTTCTGATCATCAGCACCCTCTTTCTTTTATCTTCCTCCTCATCCTCACCCTCATTATCATTCCCACACCTCTCTTCCCCTTGGGAGACAGGTGTGTTGACCTGTTGACCGGCTCCTCTCAAGTGCCTCAGCTCACTAGATCCCCCTGCTTCACTTCCAGAGTAGTGGAAACTATAAACATGCAGCACCAGGCATAGATGCAGTTGTCCTAGCTTAAAACGAAGGGAACCAGATGAGGTAGAAGGATTGCCCAAGCTTGTTAGATTCCATCCTGGCCTGGAGGGAATCTTCTCTGTAGTTTATCAGTCTTCCTTCAGCTCTCATTCCATAAGAGAAAAATTAATCCCTTCTTTATATTTTCAGTTAAAATGAGATCCTCCTAAAGAATGTCATGTCCAGGATTTCTCTTTGGGGAGGTTTAGGAGAGGAAATAGGACAAGAGAGATAGCTTGTCGGCTTGTTTGGAGCTATATTTTCATAGCAAGACATGGTTTTTATTTATAGTTTCAGAGATGAGGGGGGTAACTAAAATTTCTGCAAAATAACATTTTCTCTACCTACTGACTAATTCCTTAGTTAGTTTTTTTGTATGAACGGTATGTGTGTGTTTACATGTTTGCAGATAGACATTGATGTTGGTGCTGTGGTATGTGTGTGTCTACATGTTTGCAGATAGACATTGATGTTGGTGCATATGACTCATCTCTCAACCTCTTCTAAAGGCATGAAGCCGACTTCAAGCTTTTTCTCAATCATGCTCCACTTTATTGAGTTTTATCTAGCCTGATTGTCTCAGGGATCCCATCTCTGCTGTTGTGGGGTATCCACCAGAGAAGACAACTTGGACATGGTGTCAAACCAATAGAAAGTCTTTATTAGCTGGTCAGAGACAATACTGGGTGTTTGGGACATGAGTACAATCCCAGTTCTTTCTCAGGGTGAACTTTTAGCCACAAAGGCACACACCTCAGTCAGCAAGAACAGTTAGCCACAAATGGTACTACAGAAGGCAAAGAGCAAGGTTAGTGTACTTAGGGAATTTTCATGAACTATAGACTGTGATGTTACTTTATTCTCATTTTGACATTTTTTTGTCTATGTGCAAGGTTACAAAGCTTGTAGTACCTTCATCATGGCATTAGCTGTGTTAAGGTCTGGGGGCCTGTTGTATTTCCCACTGATCTTAAGGGCCTGAGTCCAACTGTGGACTCCTCTAGGGGAGGAGATTATATTGTCTTCTTAGCATTAGTAGTTTAACAGAATTTATTCTCTGTTTTACATAGCTAAGTAGGGAGGTGAGCAATCAGGGTCCTACAATGAGACCTAGGAATAAAAGGATTAAAGGCCTAGCCAAGGCCACAAGTAGAGTAGTTAACAAGTGGACCAAGAGAACAAGACTGATGTCTTCTTTCTCTTTTATGAAGGTTATTTCTGGCCATGGCTAAACTTTTCCTAATTATCCCTGACTGGCTAGCATAGAAGCAATCAGTTTCTCCTGGTGTCATTCTGAAGAACTACCTTGACTAATGAGTCTAACTGGGCTTCTAGATGGGTAGCAGACTTTTCTAAATGGCCCAGGTCTATGTCTACTTGAGCACCAAAGTACCTTAAAGTTTTAATCCCCCATGACCAGGGTTGAAGTTCCAACTGCAGTAGGGCCCACAATGCTTGCTCCTACCAGCAGGGAAATGATAATGGGGACATTTTGCTGCATACCAGGAAGCCCAGATCTAGATTTAGGTGGGCCCTGCCCTTTTTTCCATTGTAAGTGAACTCCTATGGTGTAACAAGTATGGGATGCAATGGAGTGAATCTCCTTCCTGGGTAAACAGTTTTAGGACTTTGAAGGGATCAGTGTATCCCCAGAAGGACTCAGTTTTGCAACCCCACTGAGCATGATGGTATTTACCTGGCTTCTAGCACCTTGGGGGTATCAGCTAGGCAGGCAGAGTACTAAATAGATTAGAGCACCTTCTCTTCACTGGTGGACCTGCAGTCTTGGGATGTACTCCATCTCCAGTTGCCTGTAGACATATTTTTTTAATAGAAATCTACCTGGCCTCTCCTTTGTATCCTAGACATCAGTACCTTAACCAGACTTACCTCCAGAGGTGATAGACCAGAAGATTTTTGATTTTGTAGTGGTGGAGGTGTCCAGTTTCCTTGAGAGATTAGACAGCAATTGATCAAAGGGGATCCTGGGGCCCTGGAACATCTCAGCTTTCTCCCCCTAGGAGTTCTTTGCACTCTTCTCCCCACCAAGGGGCTCTGAGAGCTCTGGTATCTCAAGGTCTGTTCTTTGGGGGATTTCTCGGGGAACTTAAAAAGATTATGAGATACCCACTGGACAAGATTACTCAGACACATGTTCAGGCCACTAGAGGTCTTTATTAGCCAGCTGGTGACTACACTGGATTCCAAAACCTGAAAGGTATTTCCATCTTGGTGTCAGTTTTGCTAAGGTCTGGGGTGGGGTGGGGTGGGGTGGGGTGGGCTACTGAAGTCTAGGGGGGCCTATTACACTGCCCCTAAGTGCTAGGATTACAGGTGGTGACCACACCTGCCCATCTTTATGTGGGTTCTGAAGATCCAAAATCACATTACATTAGCATTTAATATTTAGAATACACAGGCTTATAAAAAGTTGAAAATATTACAGAACTTTTTTTTAACCAGTTTGCCTCAAGTACTTTTAAAAGGGAACATTTCATCTGAGAGTCTATTATGCATATTTACCTGCTTATCTCCATGGCTGTACTTCCCCAGTGGTGTCGTCCAAGCTCATTTCTGCTAGTAAAGAAAGAGACTATGATTCTTAAGCAGGCTGTTTAGGGAAAGACAAGATATCTTTAGAAGCAAGCTGATAGTTCAAGTGTTTTTTTTTTAACAAAGCAAGCAATTTATATACACACCTGTTTTAAATCAACATCTTTCACCAATCTATGGATAAGAGAGCAATTTGGTGCGGGTTCCCTGTGAAGTACATACAAGAGCAAGTCTTCAATTTAAAGGATGTAATAGCCTGGGGCCCCTTGAGAATCTAGATTAATGGAGGCTGCCTAGAGAATGGCAGAGCATAGGAAATCCAGAGAGTGGATTGCGGCACTTGGATGCAAAGCTAGAATGCTATCTCATGAGGCAAAAGCACAGAGAAGAAGGTCTGCAGATGTTATACAATACTGATGATGTCAGTTTCTCCCCCCTGTGTTTCTGGCTTCGCAGATGCCATGGAGGTTTATATGTAAGCATGACAATTGTAGCAGCATAAAGCAAAGATTATGGAGGAAATGGTTAATTATCACAACTCTGGTTCCACATGCTCTTGGGATCATGCCCCCTGTGATTACCAACAAACTACGATGGCTCCCACCTGTGGGAGGCCATCTCTGATGGTAACTCTCCTTTCTGTATTGGAGTTGGATTCTGACTTAAAACTCAAAGTATAAAACACAACAGAAGACATTAGTGCAATTGCAAAGGTAGCCGGAAGGTCACATCCTCATCGGTAGATGGGCTTATATGTGTTGCCTCCTTTTACAGCAGTGGCTTTTAACCTTGGGTCATGATCCCACTTTCACAGGAGTGGCCTAAGACCATCAGAAGACACAGATATTTACATTATGATTCATAATAGTAGCAAAATTACAGTTATGAAGTAGCAATGAAAGTAACTGTATTAGAGTCGCAGCGTTAGGAAGCCTGAGAACCACTGTACTGGGCAGAGGAATCCATGGTTTAAAGGAAACAAAGAGGTGCTGGTCCTGAACTTTGCAGTGCCACACCTGGCTTTGTGAGCGAGTACTGGGGATCTGAACTCAGGTCTTCATGATAATGTATCCATCACTTTACAGATTCTGTCATCCCCCAACTCAGTATCAAGTCCTTTACAAAGTAGCGTTAGTGAAATTTGGTGAGAGTTGTGTGCAGTATCTTAAAGATACCACTAAAGCCAGCATAAGTACAGCTGAATGAAGGAATGTATTTATGTAGAGAGTCTGATTAAAACACAAAGTACTATGATTTGTTTTTTTTTTCCGTTAGGGGTGGAGCGGGGGATTGCGAGGGATGGAGCTACAGTCACCACTGTTTTAATCTTACATAAACAGAATAGCAAATCAATTCAATGGTTTAGTTGCAAATAATTCTCAATAAAAAGAAAGGGGGCTAATTTCAAAAAGAGTTGGGCAGGCAGAACTTTGTGAGTTTGAGGCCAGTCTGGTCTACCTAGAGAGTTCCAGAACACCCAGAACTACATAGAGAGACCGTATCTAAAAACAACACAAAGAAATGGTTCAATTCACATTGAAATCTAGAGACTTCGCCCTAACTGCAGATTATTTTATTGCATGCCATTGGAGCACAGGTTATTTTTATGTTTATCTCTCAGTGATGCTGAAGCAAAGGGGTTCTATATTCTGTCTTACTTTACCTTCTTTAAGTGCCATTTTGTTGTCGTTTGTCAGGAGCTCTGACATAAAAAGCAGGATTTGCTGCAAGGGCAAAGAGCAGATACAAAGGGCTGGGGGCATGAATGGGATCAAGATACATGATGTAGAAGATGAATAGAGTAAATAGAAAAGCACCGATCATAACTGAAGAATTTGCAGGTGCTCCTTCATTATACCAGAAGAACCAGCCCGCCCCCCAACTCTTTCTCTTTATTTTGTGTTACCAGTTTATGGTTTTACCTTCCTAACTTGCTTCTTGAAGAATAATTTCCCAAGAGTCAAATCCTAGCCAAGTGTAACCTTTATATGTTGAGGTGGGCATAAATGCTAGCTCGAGGCTTTTTCAGAAGTTGTAAAAGGTTGACGGGTTCTTTATTGGTTGGCTCAAGAATGAAGTTGTGGAGGTTTTCATATCAGAACATCTGCACTTAAAATTTCCACCTCAAACACAGCTCATTTTATTCAAAGTTGGAGGATAATTAGAAAACCAGATTCCTATGAGAAGATGCAATTGCTTTAAAACATGCAGCATTGTTGACCGCTGACTATTCTTCCTTACAAAGTAGCAGTTGTATGGCCTTTCATGTCCTGCCTGTCTATTTATGTTTGGCATCTACATCTGCTTTCTATCAATTATGAGATGCCCCTTTTGTTGCCATGTGAACAAGTTCTTTCCATACTTATAGGACCAGAGATAACATTGGAAATCTTCATTATATACTCAGTTGCTTGAAAGGGTAAACTAAATGGATTTTCCTGGATAGAATTTACATAGCCACATCAGTACATTGTATTTCTGAGATAAACATTATCATTTCCTTTTGGTTGTTGCTCTGTGATTCTTATGACAAAACAAGATTTGTAAAAAGCCCAAATGACAAATTCATTGTTTCTCTTAACAGAATGGCAAATGCATCTGTCACATTCCTTAAGAACTGTAAATGGCTTTTATTAGTGATGTTTAAATCTCAGATGTAATTACATTAAGTAATTTTGTTTCCAGGGGAGTTTGAATAATTAAAAGGCACCTGCTGATCTACTCTTATAGAGCAAAAATATGTTTTAATAATACACAAGCAGAAGAAACTGAAAAGTGAAGAACTTAGAAGGATCATTTTAGACTAACTGATTTCTGAAGTTTCAAGTTTCCAGCTTATCTTTGGGCTTGTACCAAGACATACTACCTATTAGTTACAGATGGATGACATTAGTAAGAAATCAGCTGTGCTGTTATGTTCTTTATGAAGCTCCATGACAAATATTTCCCCTCTTTCCCTTTGATCTGTCTGTCCACTATCCATGTGGGAGACATGAACTCCAGTTGACTTCGAATTGCCTATGGGATTGTGGTGAGGGCCAGTATGGATAAATGAAATTCACAGATAATCTTAAGACACTTTACTTTTCGCCTCCCCAATCTCCCATACCTCCAAATGATTTCAGAGACACAGATATAGAAAAATAAAACACGTACCAAGTGTGGTTCCTCACCCCTCTTTCCTTTTGTAGGTTGATGACCTTAACAGACATAGAGGGGGAGGGAAAATCACTGCCTTTAATTCCTCAGCATTAGATCAACATGGCTACATTGGTCTCTTTTCCTTGATGCCCCGTTTCCACCTTCACTAAGACTATAACCTGTTTTCTGGTGAGGATACATTTGTCCATGCTGAGTATGTCTCTGAGTGAGATCAGGGGCCCAGCAGAGCATGTCCATGGCTTTAGGAGAGTCAACATGTATCTGGACTTTGATTGTCTTAACCAGTTATCCCAACCTTTCTATGGACCAAAGAGTGTTACCCAGCACATTCTGAGACTTGGGGGTGGGCTCTGCTTTGGTTTTCTTTACCAGCTGAAGATAAGACCACATACCTGGGAAGTTGCTACCAACCCCCCTACCACAACTTTGGTAAGACAAGTCATTATCTCTCTTTGGGGCTAAAATTGGGACAAGAATGCCCCTTCTAGTTCCTAAGCAGTGATCAGTTATTTTGGTGGATAACTAAAGACAAATTGCTTAAAAAATTCTGATGTAATTCCAGCTGGAAACCAGCTGGTAAATTGTTTTCTAAAGTGGATGACCCGTGGTAAATAGGTGTTGTTTTCTCTGGAAAAGCAAAGGGACAATTAAAATCTAGAACCCTTGCTTGTTTATTTTCAAACAAGTTGTGCATTAATTTGTTCTGTTTTTTTAAATTATAAAATGTTACTCTAATTTCTCTGGCTTTAAGGGAACAGTAAGTCTTGAGAATCTAAGATTTTACTCTTCAGACTCTAAACACCAGGAGGTGCTGTAAGATAACATTAAGTAACATGTTCATAACAGAGCTATAAATCCCAGTTACGTAAAGATTGTTGGCAAATTTTCTCTTATGGGCCTGGGTGTTCAGATTTTAATCCACACACTGTAGCAGGCCATGTTTAGATCTGAAGAATATCCACAGGGGAGGAAAGCGGTTGTGTCAAGATTTTAGGGACACTAGGAAGCTTTTCAGAGAGGTGCCAGCTACTCTCTTACAATCAGACACTATTAGATGGTAGATAGTGAAGAATGCTTTTACTCTGTGCTTGTGTGACAATTTAGAAAGCAATGAGAAAGTCAGCTGATACCACAACATTAAATTCCTTTAACTGGTGTATTGCTTTGTGCCTGAGTGACAAGTTGTTCTTCCAAAGCCATTAAGAGTCCCAAGACACTTTTAGGTATATAGTGAGAAGGATATTTGCGTTTCTGTGGTTCTTCATCTTTTTTTTAAAAAGATTTTTCTATTTTTATTTATGAGTGTGTGTGTGTGTGTGTGTGTGTGTGTGTGTGTGTGTGTGTGTGTATACAGGTCTGTGCATGTGAGTGCAGTAACCTCAGAGGCCAGAAGATGGCGTCAAGTTCATTGGCACTAGAGTTACAGGCAGTTGTGATCTGCCTAACCTAGCTGCTGGAATCTAAACTTAAATTCTCTGCAAGAATGTTGTGTGCCCTTAACTGCTGACCCATTTCTGTAGATGCTCTCTATTTACGTTTCCATGTGAGCCAATAGCATCTCTCTTAGGAAAAAGCATTCTAATAAGTAAATAAAAATCAATCTTATTGAAGTATAATTTATACAAAATAAGACTAACAAATGGGAAATATAAAATTTGCTGAGTTTTGACATAACATTTCTATCACCACCCACCTCAAATGAAAAAACTTCCAGTTCCTTTTCAGCTAGTAGACCAAACCTTACTTGAATTTTGTATTCACCTGTTTTAATGAATGAAATCTGTTCTGTGGTAATATACCTATATAATGTATTTTGCTTATTCTCACTCTCCACCATCTTTTAATCCTCTCATACCCTGACAACCCCTACAGATCCATCTCTCATATTTATGTCTTGTTTTGCTTTTTGATCCACTAAGTTTTCAATGTATGAAGTTGGACAGTAGAACCTGATGAATTCATCATGTAAGAAAATATCTCCTGCTCCCCTAGAATCCATGAGGCCCTGTGAAGTTTCTCCCATTGACAGGTCCAACCTTTTCTTTCATGTTTCATGTCTGTGTGTTGTTGCCTGGAAACCTATGATACAAGATCACAAAGGTTATCTCTGAATTTGCTTCTAGAAGTTTTCACATTTTAGGTTTTGCTTTGGGCTTATGGTTTTTTGTGTTAATTTTATATATGGCATAAGATATGCAGAAATTAATTTATTTTTCTTGTTAATGTGTGATTTTTCTGACAGTTTTGTTTTTAAAAATTTCGGCTTTTCTCACTGCTTTTACACATACCCCAAATCATCTGTCTGAGCCCAGTTTATTCTCCACATGTAGATTCACTCCTGCATTCTGTACTCATCTAGTGGCCTGTCTCCCTTTATGCAGGTGCCAGCTGGGCCTCATCCAGGTGAGCTTCCAAGATCAGAAGTGTTTAGGGGGTTGGCCCAGACAAGTGACCTGTTTCTTGTCTTTGCAGTATCAGCACTTCCTGCAGTCAGTCCCAGCCATGTAATTGTTTAAGTGCACTGCAAAGTGAAAATAGAGAGCCCTTTGTTTAAGAGAGTTCACGAACTGTAAAATACACATATCATTGCATGAAACATGGGTCCTTTTTAAGAATAGAAATTGCTTTTCCAATTGTATTAGTCACTGCAACAAAATACCTTTGGGAAGGATCTTAGGGAACTTAGGTTTATGTTGGCTCATGAATTCAGAGGAGTTTCAGTCCACCAAGGCAGGGAAGATGGCAGTGGGAGCATGGAGACACACATCTTCACCTCACAGCTGATCAGGGAGCAGAAACACCACACCAGAACCAAAGCCACACCAAACCATAACCTTCAGGGCCTGCCCGAGTCACCTACTTTTCCTGGGCTAGTTGCCACATCCCAAAGGTGCTACACATCCCCAAACAACAGCACCAGCTGAGGATCAAATGTTCAGATATAGTAAGCTGCAGCTACCCAGGTTGGGTATACATGGACCAGAGAGTTTGACTGTAGCATTGTTCCGTACTTTTAAATGAAAACTGGACTAAGTGACTGTTTGACTTCGTTCTTTCTTTCAAATGTTATTTTGCTTATTGTGGTGTTTTTGAATTTTCATATGAACTTTAGAAGTATTTGGTTGATTTCTTCTTTTTTTATTCTTACATTTGACATGAGTTGGTTTTGGTACTCTGTCTTTTTCACTGTGTGTATGATTTCTGGTAACAACACATCTCTCGTTTCTCAGACTGGCGACTCATAGTCTCTTTTTCTGGGAAACCATGACTGGACTTTTAAAACTTGCAGATTCATCTCGTAGGACATCTTTGGTTTCACTGATTCCAGTTCACATGATCCTTCTGTCTCATCACACTGCTAATGACAAACACTCTGCTGTGATGAGCTCTTCTTTCTGGATGTCTGAAGATTTCCCTGTTTCCTAATGGTTTGGAGAGATTTGACTATAATTCACTTTGGGGTAGTTCTTTTCAAATTTATTGTGTTTATTTCTTGTTGAGCTCTGTGGGACAGTAACTTTCATTCTCTTCAGAAAATTTCAGCCACCATATATTGTTATCTTCTCTCTTTTTGAAGAAAACTCAATCACATAGAATGTGGCGTTAGGAGATGTTAATGCTGCTTACTAACACTGGTTATATTTTAAATGATTTCTTTCCTTCATTTTGGGTAGTTTCTTCCATGATATATTTATGTTCATGAACCCTCTCTTTGAAAGTGTCTAGCTTGTTGTGAGTCCCCTGGAGGTATAATTTTTACCTTAGGCATACCATTTTCATCTAGAAGTGTTGTTTGAGTTATTTATAGACATTGTTGACTTTCACACGTGTGGAATACAGTTGTTCTAATGTTCTTGCCTTCTAGTTAGAACACTGGGGCCAGATCAGAATGATTTTGGATGAATTTTGTTATCACCCTGGTTCATATTTTCCTGTTTTCTTGCATGGCTGCTAATACTTGATGAATTGCTGGACACTGTGGTTTTATATTGTTGAGGGCTAGATATTTTCCTGTTTTTCTCACTAGTTTTGGCCATTGATGCAGAATTCAGTTAAGTCAGTTGGAAGTAGTCTTATTTTTTCCCATTCTACAAGTAAAAATTGTAATGGAGGACCAACACAACATTTAATCTCCAGCTAATTATTTCTCCACACTTAAGACAAACAGCTCTGTGAGCTATCCAATGGCATAGAGCTTTCAAGTCCAGCATGTGTAAGGGTCTCCACTTCTATGAGAGTGTTGCCATTGTCACATGCATTTTGTTCCTTTTACTACATGTATTTTGTACCTTTTGTTACTATTTTGTTGTTGGAATTTCAGGTTGGATTTTAAATCTAGTGCCTTCTTAGTAGTAGAGTCAATTCCCCGAACTGACCTGAATGTCTAACTCTTGTGTCAGTCTTTGGCAGCTCTTTGCTAAAAAAGCAGCTTGATTGGCCCGAGAATTGTCTACCACTCTTATTAATAGGGGATGAATTCCTTCTTCCCTGATTGCAGAAGAATGAGCAGAAGATTTTAACTTTTATTTTTCCTTTGGAGTACAGAGAAAATTGCACTACCCCCAAAGCCTTTGCCTCTGAAATGAATCTGTACATGGGAGTATAGATTTTAATTTGTTTCTGAATCATTTGATTGGTAGTATTTATGAGAATTGTACATTTACATCTTAGCTTATGAGATTCTTTTGGGTTTTTTTTTTTTGGTCAGTTCTAGAAGTACCATGATTTGCAATATTATATAAATACTTTTCCTTTTTGAATATTGCTAAGTCAATAATTTTATAAACCATCTGATCTCTCCTTATTGTTAGTTTCCAGAATTATTTACAGTGTGACAACATCTTAAGTCTAACAGGTCAGTTCCGACAAGCTTTAATTTTATTTAAAGATACTGGCCTAAAGTAAGTTCTCAGATGATATAAAATTCTCCTTACACTTTAGGTATCTACAGCCTTTGGGATGTCTAGAGGAGAGCCTCATGCCCATTCTTTCTTACTTGCTGCTTTCATTAACATGTTTGGAATAGATTTCCGTGTCCTTTTATAGTTCTCCTTATCACTGCAGAGAATTCCTTATATGCCGCATATTACCTTGTATACAATCAGTTTCCTATTGAAGTTTTAGGCAGAACTCCTTGTCCATTTAATAAGATCAGTCTCAACTACCCTTATGTTATTCATGTTTTATTTACTGAGCTTTCTGGAGTTTTTGAACCATTCTAACTGGCACAGAAATGGTAATTTCTGACAATGACAGAGTAAATGCTTTGTAAAGTCCTCAGAAGCAGAATCGGCAACAGCTTATGTTGACAAATTAGGACTTAGAGCCAAGCCATCAGGTCTCTTCAGCTTGGCTGCATTGTTTTGACCTCCCCACCCCCTGCCCGTGTCAGCATTCCTTCAGGAAAATGCTTCAGAATGCCTCAATTTGTGCCAGGCTGGGGGGATTTGGTACTCTGGCATAAGTGAGCACCACAAATAAGTTCTGGTCTAGTGACTGCACATCATAAAATTTTTGGATTCATGCTTATGCATATTTGTAGGCTTCAATCTGGAAGAGGCATTTGTTCTAAGAAAACAGGCATAATGTTTGCAAATACAAGGCTGAGAATTACTAGGGAATTTCTACTATTTTGTGAGGGGCTTGAAGAAAGAGCCTTTTTGAAACAAAGAAAATTAAGAGGAAAGTAAGGTAATCTTAAAAACAACTCAAGTGGGCACACTTAATATTTTTCCTAAACGATCAAGTACTTCTTAAATATCACTGTAGACATGGTGGAAATATTAGTAACAAAAATCTCAGGCATCTGTGGACTGTTTTCCTCCAGGGGTAAAGAAGAGACAGCTAATGCATATGTCAGTCCCTTTAGAATGGTACTTTGCACACGCTCTCTTATGACTCTCAAAACCGTTTTGATGGGGAGGCAGAACAGTGAGGCTAGAAGGGCAGTCGCAGATGCTCATGCTGAACAGCCTCAAGGAGAAGCAGAGGGAGAACAAAGAGATGTTGGTGTGATTTCACCTGATTTCCAGATTCCATGTCTACTCCTGGAGAATCCAAAGCAAGCGTAGGAGGCCATGCTTCTCCTGTAAGTGGAAACAAGGAGGAAACTGAGGCTTTCTGAGGGAAGGCTGGGTGTCTTGAGACTATTTGACATCTGTGTCAATTGCTTTTCTGTTGTGAAGGAATACACTACCAAAAACAAC